ATAGAGGAGACATATTATCATGGTCCTTTGATAGAGTGAGAGAGGTAACCTGAGACAGGATCTTCAGGAAGAGCTGTGAGAAGTGGACTTGTAAAGTGACACCGGAGGAGCCCCTATGCTATTGTTGAGAGGAAGAACATTCTAGGTAGACGTAATAGTGAGTAGGGAGTTTTAGTGACCCTGGCCTAGCATGGCTGGGTAGTTGTAACAAGCAGGAGGGCAGAGGGGGGATCCTTATAGGGTCTTTGATGTGATGGAAAGAGTTTTCATAGGAGGGTTTTAAGCAGAGCAGTGTTTGAGAGGGAGGGTCCATTAAACCAAAGTATTATAGAGACTACAGGCCAGCCTGTTTAATCATAATTGTAACCAGTCTTTAGTTACTACAGTTTTATAGCCTTCTCCTAGCAACTCTGATTTTTGCGAACTGACCCTGAAAAAAGTTGATTTAGGCAAAAAATAGACTGTAATAAACCATTATAAACTGATAACAAACTTATACTAGCTGAGCTAAATGTGTATTTTTATAGTCATGTAGCATTATACATGTTTATACATGCATGTTTACACATACACAGACATCAGTCCCTTAGTTTTTTGGTACCGGGGATCAAACTCAAGTCCTTGTGTTTGCGAGGCAAGCAGCAGAACCACTGAGCTAAATCCCCGGCCCTAGTTCCTTTGCTTTTTTATGCCACTTTTTTTTTCTTTTGGTCTGTGAATGTAGATATGAGAGAGAATGAAAGAAGAAAAATTAGGTTGTTGCAAACTATTAGTTTAGCATTATTACTAAATTAAACCCTGGAGAGAAATGTAGTAAAAAGCTTTTTAAAAAATGAAAATACATTTTGTGAATATGACTAGTTACTGAAAATTTTTAAAGATTTATGCTTTTTCTGTATTTGGATTAATTACTAAATGTAGAGTGGGTAAAATGATCATTTTTATCACCTATCATTTTAAAAATATACTGTAATTAATACATTTTTTAGAATAATGGTGGTACATTATTTGTAGCAAAGGTTTTTAGGGAGGTAGGAAAGCATAGTAGCCTCTTGATTAAATATCAGTTTATGGGCCAGGGATTTAGCTCAGTGGTGCCATTGCTTGCCTTGCAAGCACAAGGTCCTGAGTTCATTCCACAGTACCCCCCAAAAAAATCAGTTTATGATAAATACTGTTTGACTTGAAAGATTTTAGTTATTAGTAATTAAGAGCTCACTTTCAGGGCCAGGTGTGGGAGCACGTGTCTGTAGTCCCGGCACAGGGATTGAAGCAGGAGGATCGTAAGTTCACTGCCAGCCTAGGCTACTTAGCACATTCAAGACCAGCCTATACTCTGTAGGAAGATTTTGTCTTAAAAAAATAAAAATAAAAAAGAGTAGAGAGTCAGTTCAAGGAAACAGTAAACAAATAAGTTTGTAAAAGAAGCCAAATGTCATAGCTTTATTTTAACTTTTGATACTTATTTGAAATTTTAAATGTTAAGACGTGAGAGACTATGTTTAATAAAGCAGAGTAAGCTGGTTAACATTGAGTCTCTTTGAGTCTCTTAAGAGTCTCTTTGGATTGCTAGGGAAATGCACAAAGGACCTACTATAACTTCATTAATAAGGTTATGTTGTTTAAGGCTTTAGCCTTTAACTGGTTGGGTGTTGTGTTCTTGTAGTCCCAGGTACTTAGAGGCCAAGGTGGGAGGATTAAGTGTTCAAGGCCACCTAGACAATTTAGCAAGACCCACCCCACCCTCTGCTCTCACTCCTGTCTCAAAAAAATTTTTTTTATTTTGAAAGATTAATGTGCTGAATCACATTAAAGAGAATATTTAATCTTCACTATCAGAAGGGGCTTAGGAATTGGAGAATTTAGTATTTCAAAAGAATTAACATTTAAAGCTACATCTTTCAGGATAAAAGTAAGGAACCATAAAAAATTATTTAAATAATATTCTAGGCTAGGAGCACTTATATCCACAAGGAAGCATAAATTGTGATGTGGGCTATATTTGAGTACTGGGTATAGCTAGAAGAGACCTTACAATTTGGGGTTATTCTAGGCTCGCTTCTTCCATTTCACTGTCTTCTGCCAGTGCTTCCACTCCTTATATTCATGTTCCTTGGCTATATACCTTCTCTATGGCTTTCTTCCTGGCAGAGATTTTCTTCTACTTGAAAAATAATGGGGAGTGTACGCCATCCTTACATCCAATTATATGTAGTTCACATTAGACGTGATGTAGACTTAATGCTAATTCTAAATCTAGGTGCATTCTCAGGTTCTTTACAGTTTAAAAACATTTTTATTGTTTCTTTATGAGCCAAAAGGTAGCAATGTGAATTTTTTTTTCTTTTAGCAATATGAATTTTATATCCTTGAAGACCAAGATCTTTAACTGGCAGAAAAAGTCTTCTCAATTGGCTTTTTTTTTTCCCCCCGGTACTGGGAATCAAACTTAGGGGTGCCACTGAGGCCCTCAATTGGCTTTATATCCTAAAGACTTGAAGAGTCATACTATTTCCATATTGTTTACATGATCTGTGAATGCCATGATAGCTTTTTTTTTTTCAATTCAGATTTCTCCCTTGATTCTCAAGGAAATAGGTGATGTCTTTGCACTAAACTTCTGAGAGGCTTAAATTTATTCGCATACTCATAAGTTTATGTCAGTTGCTTTATTCTGTGTCAAATATGTTTTAGGCTATTTTATACACAGTAAAGATAATCTGCTTGAATCTCTGCTCTTACTAAGCAAGTCATGACAAAAACTACTTATTAATGATTTATGTTATTTTCAAAGTACAGTGTTAGCTCAGTGGTTCCACCACCTGCCTTGAAAGTGCAAGGTCCCGAGTTTGATCCCTGGTCCCGCCCCCCCCATGAATTCCAGAAGTGAATTTTCTTAGATTTGAGAGCCTGTGATTTCAGTTTGGAGGGGTTTTCTTTCTTATTTATTTATTTATTTATTTACTTTTGGTTTTGTTTTTCTTTTACCACCTCAAATTCATGCTTTCATTTATTTTCAGAGGTGCGTTGAAGTCTGAAAATATAGGGGCTATTACCTTATTGTATAATTACTGTATTTGATTTTTTTATACTAATTGGGTAAAATGTGATTACTGAATAGCACTATCATTCCCCCCTTGGTTTTTTTCTGTGAGAATTCCCCCTTTTACAATGATAGTAATTTTCTTTTTCTAGGTTTGTCCCTTCTATGGTATACACATTATTTACTGTTGCAAGATGAAGTTGGTGAGCTAGATGATAGCTAGGAGTCTTTTAATGAAGATGGCTTTAAAGCATCAGCTGGCTTTAAACTCTTCCTTTAGCACAAACACTATAGTTCTGGGATGGAGGTTGTTTTTTATTTATTTTTTTATCTAATACAAATTTAAAGTCATGATGATTTATTTTCCCTTGTTTGGCTGAGAAACTATGATAATTTGGTACCATCACCCTTTTATTTTTTTCTGAAAATTTTATTTCAGAACTGGCTGGGTTAATGTATCTATATATGTACAATACTGTGTATCCTGTTTTCTCTAAAGAATTTGGTTAACTTTTTAAAATGCAGCCTTAAGCATATTAAACAGGAAAAGGATTCTGTAGTTCATCACAATAAGTAGGTTGATAGGAATTTCACTTTCTCTAATTTCTCTAGTTATATACTTGGAAAAATTATTTTTCTAAATATGAATATATAATTTAAAGAAAACAATTTCTTCTTTGAAAATCTTTAATATGAAGGCATTATGGTACCACACTATAATAAACATTTATATATGTTTATAGCATTCAAGTAACAATTAGATATTACTCTTTATTTCTATATCAGTTTGGACTTAGTCCAGGGGAAGCCTTACAGTGAGAGATGGATGAAAAGATGAAGAAATATAACTTTTGAGAAGATAGAAGACATTAATATTCTTTTATTTTGGATACAAGCCCTGTTTAGCTACTTTGAATCATATATATAGCACCTAGCACAGTACTATATCCACATATGAACTACATGAAACTATCTGTAGTTAACATTGTAATTTTTTCTGATTTAATCAACATTAGGAACATTGTTTTTATTATCCTTTGAAATTTGATGATAAATATAGGAAATATAAAGACAATGTAAGAATGAACCCATCTCAGGGAATAAGTATTGTACCTATAATTTTTTTCATCTACTGTTGTTGTTTACCAATGGAATTTACTATTGAGAAAATAAAAGATGAGTTTATACCTGGATTTAAGATAGAAATCATGAAACTACATATGTACATTTTGTTAGATTACCAGGCTCTTTGTTTTTATCACAGCATGTGTAAGTGTTTAATTTCTTTTTTTTTTTTCAGCTTTAATTGAGTTTATTGGTACATTTTAGGGATACAGTAGAGTTACATGTATTGTTGGGATCTTGTACCTCTACATGACAAGTCTTGATTCTCATTTTTTCCCCTTACCTCTGCCCTTGCTTCACCCCCTCTTCCCCTCCCCATCTACAAACACTTTATTTCATCTTTTCATTCTCTCACATTTTTTTCTTTTCCTTAATTTCTTAATTGATTTCAAGAGTTCAATGAGTGTAACTATTCCACACATAGAATTTTAATTTAATGCATATTTCTTTAGTTCCTATATAACTAGGAACTTAACTTCCCTTCAGAAGACTATTCAAAGAAGGGCTTTCATTTCAACATAAAATGTATTAGTTACTTAATATTGTACATTGAAAAATTATTTTAAAAAGATACTTGGGATTGGGGAAATGTATGATAAAATTTAACCAGAAGATGGCAGTGACGATCCTCCTGTACTCCCTGCTACGGTAATCAAAAAGTTTTCCAAATGTCATAGTGTGAAGTGTGCATGTTCAATGCTGTTATATGATGTTAAAAGGTGACAGTTCAGGAGAAAGCATTTGCTATTTATATACTATGAACATGTGTATTTTTCTATAAGAAGGGATTAAGAATATTTTGGGTGTCTGTATCTTTGTCTGTACACTTCAGTTTTTTCTGAATACTGGGGTAAGGAAGTTACCGTAAATCTTGCCTTGTTTAATTTGCATGCATCACTTTATGTTATGCATCATGTCTAGAAGGCATGCTGTTTTATGGCCTGTTTGCATTTTTCATCCAAATTGCTGGAAACTAATAGACATTTTAAAGGAGCCATTCCTTGCAATCATTTCTCTGAATTGCCCTTTTCGTGGTTGAGAGGGGATGAAATAATTTTCAAATCAATTTTTGGAAAAAAAATTGTTGGGCAAAAAATAACATTTAAAATCTTAGAAAACCAGTGATTAAATGACTTGAAGTATATTTCAGGGTTTTAATTCTGGCAGCAATTGTAAATAATATAATCTAGTTGTTTTTAAAATGGGAAGATAGAGGAGAAGGAATGCTCTCCTTTGAAAATTAGTGGCCACATTTGGTGATGGATGAGATGAAGATGCATCCTTCCACACTTTGCCCTTTTTAAAATAATATAAAGCCCAAATGCATTTTGCCAGAGAAATTGCATGAATCTTCAGCATGCATTGTTAACCTTGTCTTTTCCCCTTTCTTTTCTACTGTTCATTTTCATTCATGTATTTTTTATTTGCCATTATTTTTTCCTTTTTCAATTATTTCATGTTAAATTATGTTTGAAACGTCATAAGCTGAGCAACCTCTCCATGTAGTAACAGCGGATACCTGTCTATTTCACTATTTAGTCCCTCCTCCTATGTCTCCATCCTCCAAATCTGTGAGCACACCAAGTGAAGCTGGAAGCCAAGACTCTGGAGATGGTGCCGTGGGATCGAGGTACAGTAATTTTCTTGTACTATTTTAAGATAGAATGTATTCAGTTTCCAAATACTGCCAGTGCCTTAAGGAGGTTCTAAATAATTTTATTAACTTAGTCCTAAGATTTTTTGTTTTTTACCAGTACAGGGTATTGAACTCAGGAACTTGCACTTGCCAGGCAGGTATGGCATTGCTCAGTTACATCGTGGCCCCCATAGTCCTAAGATTTAAAAATGTAAACAGCATAGACATTTTTTGTTGAGGGGCCCAGGATTTAAGGAAGGAAGGAATTTTGTTTGGGTTTTTTTTTTTTTTTGGTACCAGGGAGTCGAACTCAGGTCCTTGCGCTTGCGAGGCAGGAGCAGAACCACTGAGCTAAATAAATCTCTGGCCCAGGAATTTTCTGTTGTAAATTTGGGGTGAAATTTTTAAACAATATTTTAACTATCATATATTAGTACTAAAATTAACTGATTTTATGATAACTGTTTTATATTAAAAAGAGTTATTAGTGCATTTATTTTTTTTTCTGTTTAAGCATTATATTGACTATTATGTGAATGTTGTCGTTATGAATAGTGTAAAATCTTTGTTCTCTGTCCAGTAATTAAAAATCGAAATAGTTCATTTAATAGTTAATTCTATTCTCTTAAATAGGGGGAAATAAAGGGGAAAGTAATATATAAAATATGAAGAATAAGAAAACTGGCGAGGAAATCTTGATTGAGAGTGTTTACTGCCAAGTTACGTTGAACTTGCATCTTCCTTGTAAAACTATTTCATGTTTGTTTTGGGGTCCTGCACACATGTTGGGCTTTGTTTTCAAAAGTTCAGAAAGATTTCAGTTTTCTTCCAAAGGTCATATGAGGAAAAATATTACTACATATTTCACTATGTCTCATGCATGCATGCATGCATACACAAACACATAATAGCAAGTTTTTATGTAACAGCATTATGCTTTTTTTTTTCTTTTGTACCGGGGTCAAACTCGCTCCTACCTTGTGCTTGTGAGGCAGGCGGCGGAACCACTGAGCTGAATCCCTGGCCCAGCATTATACTTTTTGACTTTTGGTGAGAGCTAAAATTAAAGTAAACACAACTAGTCAAAATCCACAGCTGACTCAAGCCCATATTTTGGGCCTGGAAGTTAAGTATCTTCCTTAGAAAAATCTCTTTAATGTGCCTTTTTAATAACAATAAATTATTATATGTTTTACTTTTTGGGGGCCTCAGTCCCTGTGAAGATGCAAATAAGTGATGACTAAATGTGAGGGCAAGAAAAAAGAAGCAAAGAGGCCGATTGACCTATAAGACAAACTTAAATCAGTTATTGAATAATCTCATTAACAATTAAAAGGCACATAATGTTTGCTAGTTTGAATTGGAGCTGTGCTTTCCAAAAGTTATAGATCTTGTAATGACTGTTTTGGGGATGATGACATAACTCTATCATTTAAGAAAAAAACCAAAACTTTCTCTTTAGAAATAATGTTATTACTTTTTAAATATTATGTATTCTGAAGACTGACCTAAATTAATTTTTAGTGCTAAATTTGTTTCAGACTTACACATTTTTTGTGCAGTTATGTCAGCATTCAGGGGTTAGGCGTATAGCCCAGAGATAGCTTGCCTTTCACATGCATGGACCTGGGTTCTGTCCCCAGCACCAGAAAAAAAAAGTCCCTACAGATGTTGGTATTCCTTTTAATACCTAATAAGCAACTGATATTTTCAAGTGAAGGTTTTTTCCTTCTACAACAAACATTATCATAGCAAAAATATTTCCCAAGATTAAAAAATTACTATATTTGTTAAATTTCTTTTTTATACTGTTATTTTTATGTAGATACTATATATAATGTGTATATTCATTTCTGATTTTGAATAGGAATAGAAAGATTATTTAAATGCACTGGAAGTAAGTTTGCTTTCAAAAGTACTGTGTAACACCTACCCCTGGTTTTTAAAATTAATATGAATTAAAACATGTCTTGAGTTTCATGGACAACCTAGAGATTATTAGAGTCCCTTTAGAATGTAAACTAGTACAGGGAACAAATAATGGTAAGAAAAATATTTGTGAATAGAACAAATATTAATCAAATTGCCAACTTTGCATTAAATACTATAGATTATCACAGAAAATATAATGTTTATGGCTCTGCTTTCATAGAACATGCATTATAGTGCTGATTATGTTATTAATTTAAGCATATTATTCTCTTTACTGAAAAGTTGTAAAGATACTATGTTAACTTATGTTACATGTATAGATTTTTTTAGCAAGAAAGCAAGTAGTTTAGTATCTTTAGAGGTGTTTGTTCTTAGAAAATGAATAGAAAATTAACTTTTTCTGAGTGTAACAGAAAAATCCTTCTTTTGAATGAGATGATCTTATATCTTTTAAATCTTTTTTAACATTTTTATTAGTACATGTTTGCAGGATATAATGATTACATTCATTGTGGGGAATTAGTGCATGTATATAACATCTTAATTCTTTTTACTTCTTCCCCCTATCTAGTTCTTAATATATATATTATCTCTGTTGAGAGCATTGACTCATTTTGAGACATAAATTTTCAGAAGGCTCAGTATATTCATTTTACACATATACAATATTAGAAAACTGTGAAATCTAAACAGTTTCCATAATTGGGAAAAATATTGTAGATTGTAATATTGATTGCAAAATAATGCATTTCTAAATACATAACATTTAAAAAGAATAGTAAGATCTGAGAAAGAAACAGAATGAACTTTAATTGTACAGGAATGATGACAATGAAAGAATAAAAACAATGAGGAGATATTGTAGGAATATGCATGAAGATGTGTAACATGTAAGCACCTGTATCCTCAACTCTTGTTAGCCAAGACAGACTAAGATTAGTACACTAAAATGTAAGAAAAGATGGATTATACATTATAAAATATGATATCTACACATTTCTGAATTCTTTATAATTGCCAAGAATTTCTATTGGAACTTGTGGTAATTTATGACTAAATATAAAAGGTCATAAGAAGAGATATTTCTCTAACTTTATATACATTAGGAAATTGCATTGCTTTAATTTCTAGTTCTTTTTTTTTTGGTACTGGGGATTGAACTTGGGTCCTTGCGCTTGCAAGGCAGGCCACCGAACCGCTGATCTAAATCCCCAGCCCCTATAGTTCATTTTTTCAATCACTTCTGTTAGCTCTAAAATTTAGGTGACAGTCAATTGAGTAATCCATGCTTGTTCTTTTCCCATTTTTGATCAATTTGTTACTAAAGTTTTGGGGTTGTATTGGAATTGTACTTTATATAACTGAAGATAATGTGTATGATCAATGAATTTTAGTACTGGCTCAATTTTGAGGTTTTAGACTGAAATGACATTCTCAACAAGGAGCTTTATGTTATAGATAATAGCTAGAGCTTTAAATAATGTAAAGGCTACTGACCAAACATTCCTTGGAGACCATCTCATAGAACTCTTTTTGGTTTAACAAAGCCTAAGCTTGTTGTTCATTGCTTAATACAAAGTAGGTCTTCTCTGTGGCTTTTTTTTTCCTTGCATATGTGCAGCCATATGTAATGTACATATGTACAAGATCTGAAATTCTAAGATCTTTTTAATATTTTTTAAATGAAGGATATCTCTAGCTCTTCCCTTCTCATTACTTTATTGATAAAATTTGTAGGCAGGTTAAGTAGACATTACTTGTATTAAAATATTGTAGCAATTAAAGTTGCATATTATAACTTCTATGAAAAACAAATATATTTGATGAAATTGGTTTTACTAAGTACAATATTATGCTTTTTATGGGAACCATGAACATTATACAATATTGCTACCTATAAGAAATGCAAATATGATAAATTGCCCTTTGTTCTAGTAATGACTAGATTTAGCTTAAGTGTAAAAGATCCTGTATAAAATATCTACCCAAGAGGAAATGCTACGACATTGCTGAATATATACATGTAGGACTGATACTGTCCCAAAATTAGGTAGAACCTTTGAACATAAAATACTCTTCTAGGGAAAAAAATCTATTTTTTTTTCCTGGAGACCAAAAATCTTCAGTTGTTTTCTATAGCAGATGACATATAAGCCTTAGGCAGTGCTTAACCCATAAATTACAGCAGGGTCACATTTTGGAAACTTTAGCTATTTTGTGTCCCAGTGGGATAGTCTTTGGTTTTCTTAACGAAAGGCTTATGTGTTGACTCATTTCCTTTACCAATATGACAATTTCCTGCACATATTTAATGCTTTGAGCAAGATTAGACTATTTTAACTGAAATGTTTTTACTAATTTTTTTTTCCATTGGGAATTCTAAAATTTTAGCTATTTTATAGCCGAGCTTATTATCCACAATTAATATATTGGTCGTTATCTGCATTAGCTGTTCTTGACCATTAATTAGTACACAATATTAGTTTCCCCTAATCTGAAAATATTAACTATTCTGTCATCTTTAACTATATTATGCTTGTTGCCACACTAGAACATTGAGTGATACCTAGTTTATGTCTCTCTTGCCCCCTCCCTCTTTCTTCTCCCTTCCTTTTTTTGTACTAACCAGAACATGTGTTTTTTAATTGTGAACAGTACTTTAGCTTTAGCTATTTGTAGAATGTATTTGCTTGACTAACTTATGGCCTTTTTTACTAATGCTTCATGGCTGTCCTACAACCAACCGTTTAGGACGCTGCATTGGGATACAGATCCATCAGTTCTTCAGCTTCACTCAGATTCCGATTTGGGGTATTGAATAGATTTATTATCTTCCCTCTTTTATAATGAATTTGATTCTTTATGAAATCGTCCTTTTTACTTGGTTTAGTTTCTAATATTGTTTATAATTAGAACAAGAGATCTGTTTTGCTGTGACACCTCATTTATCCTGTATCATTAGTGAAAGAAATATTGTATGTATGTGATTTCCTAGGCACCATAAACATACTCATTTAGGTGCCCAAATTATTTCTATTATTTCTGTATTATTTGATATAAAGTTTCCCAAGTTACACTATAATCTTCCCAGTCTTTTTCTAACATATGCTGTACATGTAATTGAAACTTCTCTGAATTATTTAATATAAGAATTAGTTTTCCTGTGTTAAAATTCATTTGAGTCAAGGAACAGAGATGTTGGTCTCTACACTATGACCCTAGGTTATTGTTTGTTTATTTATTTGCTTATTTATATATTTGTTTAGTCTAGATTCTGGTGCAAATACTAAATACTTGCTGCCTGAGTCAAATAGCTCCTTTCCTCTGACAGTTTGCAGCTTCTAAAATGTGTAGCCATAACTTTTGTATCCAAAAAGCAAGAATAAATAAGTCTTGAATTATGGCATATAAGAAAAATAAATGAGCAGTGTACACACTAATGAGAAGGCCTCACTATTGAGTATCCTGAGGCTTCTCCTTCTCCCCTTATGTTATTTACTTGTTTTCAGTAAAAGTGGCTTTTAGATAAGTGAGATATAACCTTTTACCCTCTTCCTCTTACAAAATCTTGGAATATTTTATGTGTTTTAATATTGTGGGTTTTTTATTATTGTACCATATATATGCATTCAAGTTGGCAACTTGTTCTTAATCCTGTTGGCTTGATAATTTATTCCAGATACGTAAGTGACTGGCATTTTATGTAGTTTACATCTTAAAAAATCAGAATCTAAAGTTCTTTATTTCAAATAAAGTTCTTATTTCACATATTTTTCAGAATATTCTATATTATTTGAAATACACTTAAAATTTCCATTTAATTCTTTGCTTAGGCTTTTTTTTTTTTTTTCTTTAAAGGCTAATATTCCTAAAGTAGAAAACACATTTAAATTTTCTTATGGCCCATATTGGGGATGTTAGAACAAATTAATTTTTAAAATTACTAATCCCTTACATTCTTTTATATAGGATTTGAATTTAGTTATAAATGAAATGGGAAAAATGTTTGTATATATTTGTTAAAAAGTATATTACCAGTGACATATATATTTTGGAAGTTGCAACAGTGTCTTTATTGGATAGCCTTTTTAAGTTATTACATAATTGAGAATTTTGGCAGTTTACAAGCATACTTTAGTTTATAATTTAAATATCTAATATAATAAGTAAAGCCCCCAGGTAAAAAATATATTTTTGGGGGAGTCCATTTTCCTCAGCTGAAATTCTCATCTTCCATCTATCAAAAAATAATGTTATTTCTTCCATCTTATGAAAACTGAAATAACTTTAATAGTTCCATTATATTCAGAAGATTTATTGCCTTAGTGCAGAATATCTGGATCTTAAGTTTGTCCACTGTGAATCAAGGACAGTATTGAGTTTGTAGAGATTAGACACTTAAAAGTTTTAAACATTTCACTTTGAAATTCAGATTAACAGTGGCTTCTCAGTTTCCACCACACATAAGAAATAAAGGCTCTCAACAGAAACCTAGCTTTCAGTCTTAGAGCTTACTAATGGTGAATAGAATTAAATATGGTACAAGATCCATGTATCTAAAATCTAGACTCATATCTCAGCTAAAAACAGTTCTTGTAACAACCTTATTCAGTAGTCTACTCTGAAATGTCTGTCCTCTTATTCTGTTGTGACCCACACCTTTGCTCTCAGAAATGAAATTATTTACCTTTTTAAAGTAAAAAATAAGTGCTTGCTTCAGCAGCACATATACTAAAATAAAAAATAAATACCCCAGATGAGTCAGAAATATGTTTTTGCTTGCTACCTTCTGATTCTTTTGTTAAAGCTAGCTTGTTCATCTAAAATTTCTTGAATAAAACAGGTTTAAATTACAATGTTAGATATACACGAATATTTAATTCTTAATTTTTAAAAATAACAGGATTTGACATAGTTAAATTGTATCATTTGTTGTATTGAAAAACATTTGTATTCACTTAATTTAGACGGGGACCTATTAAGCTTGGAATGGCCAAAATTACACAAGTTGATTTTCCTCCTCGAGAAATTGTCACATATACCAAGGAAACTCAGACTCCAATTATGGCTCAACCCAAAGAAGGTAACTATCCTTAATATGATTGTCACTAAGACTCCATATTAAGTAAGTGGACTCTGGGGTTTCTTTTCTTCCTTCCCACCTTCCTACCGTCCTCCCCCCCCCTCTGTTTGGGGCATATATTCTTGGAGAAATAATATAAAAATAATGCTTTATGGTTTCTATATCTTTGTTTTTAATAATTTTTAAGCCTTTACTTTTAAAAGCTAACAGTTTAAAGCTGTGTGTTTGGTTTTTTGGTTGACATAAATTTAAATCTTTCAGTCTTTATTTTGTCACTGCTATGTAATTTCTTTAGAAATGAAAAGGTTAAGAATGTTCTATTCCTGTCATTGAGTATAATTCTTCCCAGGAGAGATTGTCCTACAGAAAAGAAAGTCATGTAAATTATTTTCTGTGGAGCATAATACATTCTGATAGGCTGTCATTATTCATACTAATGAACAAATCGAGACGTAATTATTAAACTTTATCTCTTATGATCTAAGGTTTCTAACATGTAGATTATTTAGTATCCTTTAATCTGTATGTAATTAGATGAAGTGTGCCCAGACATTATATTGAATGTAAAGTCCTTTGGTTCTTTTTTTTTTTTTTGGTACTGGGGATCGAACTCAGGTCCTTGTGCTTGCTAGGCAGGTGCCGGAACCACTAAGGTAAATCCCCAGCCCTAGTCCTTTGATTCTTAAAAAAAAAAGAGTTACTGTTTTAAAATTGAGGATTAATTTTTAATTTTTTAAACCAATGAGGCTAGTGAATTTATGTCATACTTAAAAGAAGTTTACATGAGATCTCTAATATAGGTCCACAGTCTCTTTTGAGGCTACCTGTATGTTAGAATTTGGAATTTTTTTAATTTTAGAAAAGTGATTTTTGTATTACAGATTAACATTTCAGCAGCATCTCGGGCATTAGTATTTTAGCCACAAAAGATTAAAATATACTAAAGAGAAAAATAATGATTATAAATAACTTTATCTCTGATCATCTCAGGGTTTACCACCAAATGAGTTATGGATTTTAGAGCTGTTGACAATTTTGGAATTATGGATAAGGTATTATGGGCCTAAAATAAATTATCTTTTTGATAGTTTCTGCATAAGGAACTTTTTTTTTCTATTTGTCAAGGGAAATCTGTTCCTACTTATTTACAGAAAATCAAGTATAAAAATTTTTTCAAATCTTAAACTATTTACCTTTTTACCTAATAGTAGGTCATCACATAAACTTCTAACAACTTTCCTTTTTCAGTTCTCAAAAGATGGACATGAAATAAATATACATTTCCTTTTTCTTTTTTCCAAAAGGAGTTGATATTATCAGACATGCAATATCTTGAAATTTTTGAGGAAATTAGGGTAACATTTTTATCCAGAAATTTTTTATTTACCATATAAATGCTCATTTCTGAGGAAGCAATTTTTTCATTCCTACTGCTCCAGTGATTGCTAAAATAGCTTTTGTAAGTGCAAAATCCTCATCCTAAAAGGGGGAAAAAAAGCCATTGGTGATTGTTTGAGACATAAGCAAATTTTTAAAAAGGAAAAATACTGTTGAATTATTGGTATAGAAAATACTAAATCTGTAGGATTCCGTAACTTCCAGAAAGTATTTCATTAATTAGTACATTAATTTTAGTATTATGTTTTTGGAACTATATGATTAGATACATTAACTCACAGAGTAGGCAAAATAGCCAAAATGAGGGCACAATGACTCACTTATAAAATAAATTAGCCTTTTTTATCTGATAATGTGGAAATTGTATTTTTACAATTATAGCTCATCATACTTATGAAATGCATTTTAGGTGTTTGAAATGTAAAGAAATCTGAAGCTATTTCGGATAATGCCTATTAAAATATAGCTATAATTGTAGTTAAGTGAAAATGTTCATATTTTTAAATATTTTTTTCTAATTATTGTAGTATACATAATTTAGAAAGTACATAAATGAAATAAAGAGGAAATGGATGTGACACTACTATGTATTAGTGATTTATACTTTGTTTCAATAAATATATCCATTTTCTAAGAATGTACTTTTTCAGAAATTCTATATGTTTGAACATACACTTACACACATGACTTTGTCCTACTTGAAATTCGCATTTTTAATTGCTCATTTTAAGGGCTTATAAATTTTAAAATGTGAACATGTAACATTTCCTTTTAATTAATTTGACTATGTAACTGGTGCAGTATAAGACTAACATTTTTAAAAAATTTATATTTCCCATTTTTATATGTAATTTTAGAGATAAAAACCATAATTTGTTAGGTAAGCTGATGATCCACAAGTACATGATAAACTGTTCTTTTCAGCTTGAAAATATTCAGGGCAAAGCATCATTGTACTTCAGCTTCTTTGCCAAATTTTCCATAAGAATAGAGACTGTTTCTTCCTTTCTGTGATGTCTGGCTTGAATAGTATGTGGCATGCAGTAAGTACTCAAATATTTGGTGAAGAATTTAATTGCTATTACCTACTCAGGAGGATGATTTTGCCTACTTGGGATGTTTATTTTTATGCTTTTACTCTGAAAGCAGCTACTGGAAAAACATGTTCTTTTCAAGTGTTAATGCTACAATGTAACTAGTGATGTAATTTGGGTGGAAAAGAATGATTAGTCTTAATTCTTGGTTTTAATATGGTGATGTCCTGATCATCATTTGCTTTTAAGTCCAGAAATGAAACCATTATAGATTCTTCTTTATAGTCTTCATGAATTCCACATTTATATCACTATGTAGATACAAACATATACTGTGATTTTTGTGTTCTCTTTATCCCTCTGAATACTATGAGCAAAATTGAACCTGTCGGCATCTTTTAATATATTATTTCAATTATGTATTTGTAACAGTTCTCCAAACTTCATGTTTAAATTGATGACTGAAAATTATAACAGCAAAGAGTATATATCAGACATAGCATGTAGCACTTTATATTATCTGTATCACTTCTCTTACCAAAACCCCACAAATTAAGCATTGGTTCTTATTTATGCATGAAGAAGATGAACCTGAGTATGTAGTTTATCTAGGGTCACATAACTAGTAGCTGTGATCCTAAACCATGTCTGGATGATTCTAAGTTGCTCTGTCTCTCATGCTACCATGAAGCAGCAACTTTCATGCTTTCATAATAGTAAACTACAGTAAGTAGCTCAAGTTATATTATAATCCAGTGCAAACAGCTACAAAACTAACTGAAACAAAAGTTTTATAAAACAGCACTGTAATTCCTCAGATGTTGACCACAGCACACTAAATTTATTGGTTTAGACTACGCTTTGAAAAATACTTCATTAAAGGAGAACATATTGGGTTATCCTATTTATTATTGTTTCCACATCAGGATAATTAGTTGTAGTGATAGTCTCACAATATTGAATAAGCATTGGTAATCTTCCCTACTGTTTGAGTTTTTCTTACCTTAACTGGCACTTTATGCTCAACTGTACATTGCATTAATACAGTGGTTCTCAAACCCAACCTGGTTGGCTCCAATTTAAGAGCTATATAACAGAGCTAGGATTGTAGTCCTGTGGTAGATATGTGCCTAGAATGCATGAAGCCATGTGTTAGATCCAGCATCACAAAAAAATTTTAAGAAATTTTAGATTATGGAACAAATTTTAAAACTCACCATGAGAAAAAATTGGAGAAATCACAATTGGAGTATAACAGACAATAAATTTAGGTAGGAAGTATAATCAGTGAAGTAATGTGAATTACCAAATTGAAGGTAAAAATTGATCATAACTCTTTATCTATCTTCCATTTTTTAAAAATACCAAACCTCTTCTTTTAAAAGGCAGTTTTCATTCTACTTCCCCCACAACCCCATTCTGGCCATCTACTTGCTTTCACGTTTACTCTGTAAGTTGGTAGTGCTATTTCTGAGCTGAGGTGCTTTGTTGTCTTAAAGCACCTACTGTGAATGAAATTGACTAAGACCATGTGACCTCAGTCAATTTTCTTCTCCACAGGTAAACAGCTTCTGGCAAGAGTGGTGCCCACAGATAGACTCTTGGAAGTTACTTTCTCCCCTTACCTTTTAAAAGTTTTAACTCTTGAAAATGGCATTTTTTCTCATCCTTCTTCAGTATGGATTTTTGGGGGATTGTTGTTTTTAGGAAAAAAGATTTTTAAAGGAGGAAGAAATTCTAAAGGTTATTTAATGAGTAGGTTTACATCTGTGGAAAATGAAGACCTGGGAAGTTAATTAGTGAACCTGAGTCCACAATGGAAGAAAATAACAAGGCTACAACTAGCGCTTGGCAGTTGATTTCCAGTGAAGGTCTCATTTTCCTTATTCCATTTTATTTTCTTATCTGTGAAGGGGCTTTGTAACTATTGTTGGTATTTATTTATTGGCTAGGTAGTTTTCCTCAATAATGTTGATTAACATTTATAATATATAGAAAATTATTATTATGTAAATAGTTTAATCTTTTATTGCATGGTCTTATTGGAATCTATACTTTCCTAGAGTCCAAATTTGTAGGCTTTCTGGTTAATAAGTACTATTACCCTTATCTAAAATGGAATTTTTTAAATTCTAGGATCAATAATAGATTTGTTAAATTAGTTATAACCCTCAATCTGTGAGAATTACTATAAACATAACTGAAAATTATTCATTCTTAATCTGGAATTAAAAGAATATAATCAAGGTACCTAAAACTTTGACTTCAGAAAAATGTAACATTTTGGGGATTCAGCTCAGTGGTGCTGCCACCTGCCTCGCAAGCTCAAGGTCCCAAGTTCAATCCCTGGTACCAAAAAAAAAAAGTAACATTTGATGAGATCACAGAGAATAGTCTTGTGTTAAAAAGTCTATGACAACTTCCATGTTAAAGTAAATGGTAATTATTCCTTTATTTTTCTCTTGCATTCAGAAATACTTAATAGTCAACTGCATATATTTCCCTTGTTGAAGCCCCAAATAATTAAAGTAGTAACAAGTGACCTTACATCTGATTCTAGAGATTTGTTCTAAAGAAGTAAATTCCATAGATACATTGATGAAGCTTTGCCTCTTCCATATGATTTGATTTTAAGATATAAAAAGATGACATGTGGACAAATAAATTGAAATGGAGAGATTCAAAATGATGCTAATCCAGAAAAAACTTAGTTGGAAAATCATTTCTTACACTTTTAAACTAGTGTTAGAAGGCTTTATTGATGTCTTTATTGATGTCTACAAAGTTATTCATAAGTTGAATTTTTAAAGTTGAATCATATTTTGTCAACAACCAATTTCCTGATTTTTTAGAACTCCGTAGTTTTGAACCTTGAATAATTAGACTACTTTGTAAGTTACAGACTCTTCCTAAGATACTGAATTATCTTTAAAAAGGTATGCCAGTATAACAAAACAACATAAGGAATTGTTAGCCAACAAATGTACTTCCTAAACAATGCACTAATATGGGATTTGTTGTTCATTTCATATTGTGAATCATAAGTGATATAAAGTAGCAATATGTGTTTAGTAAGAATTTTCTAAGATCTTGGGTATTACCTTATAAACATAATATTTAACTCAATGTCTACTTTATGGCTTATTCTTAAATATATCTTAAATGTAATATGACATATATATGAGAAGACTTGTTCTAAAGACTTATTCCCATTTCACAGATGATTTAACTTTGATTAACCTACTTCACTGTAACAGATTATTCCAACAACTGGAATTTCACTCAGTGGTGTTATTTCTAGGTGCAGCCTAATTTACAGAACAGCTTTTCTTTCCATCTCACCAAAATACATCACAATTTTGATGTTAACTCTAAGTAAAAATTCAATGGTTCATTAAACCTATTTTTAGAATTCATTGACAAGAGATTTGTCATTTTAAAAGTAACTGCTACTTTCACCACTCTTTACTGCTCAGTTTGTAACCTTAGATTCCCTGTCAGAGAAAGCATGGAGTTAACCACTTAGCATATTGTAATGAATATTCATCAGCAAATTGATGTGGCAAGTCAGTCCCATTTTTCAGGCTGCCTGTACTGTTAACTCTTTTCTACTTTTAAATATGTTATAGATTATCATGTAACAGGGACTAGCTTAGAAAATCTTTAGAACTTATTAATATTATATTTTTTGGCCATAGCAATAATCATTTAGTAGCGTATTAGTTTATAAGAGAAGTATATTTGTTTTAGAAGAACATTTTTTTGCTAATATTGGGAACTGAACCCAGAACATTCACACTGAGCTAAATCTCCAGCCCTTCTTTGGAAGCAAGGTCTTGCTAAGTCACCATTTTTCCAGGCCACGCTTGAACTTGAGTTCCTCCAGCCTCAGCCTCCCAGAGTACTAGGAGTAAAATCAGCTTTATGACAAAAAAAAAACAAAAACTACATTTTGCAGTTTTTCAGAGGAACATATCATTTGTTTTTATGTTCCTAGAAATTTATTTAGCTTAATAATTTTTGAAGCTTGTTTTTTGAGTACCAATTACAATTTTTAAATTCAGTTTTAATCCACATATAAAAGGATATGTGCACATGGATTCTAAAATAATATTCAGAGGGTATGTATTTAAATAGTTGATACTGAACTACCACTAAAATAATTTATGTAGATACATAGGTATGGAAAGTGCTATATTGTAGAGCGATAACTGATCACTGACTAACGTACTTCATCTACATTTTAAATTTTAAAAGGAAGAGTGTCCATAAACAAGATCCTTTCTGTTAAATATGTATATTATTAGGTCACTTAGCAGTACAGCACTGACCATATGCATTATGACAGGAATTTGACAGCTGTCATTGAAAATGGTACTTAGAAGCCATATAATACAACAGAGTTGAAGGAAGAGACTAAGATGTGGGTAGGAGGCTGTAATTTATAATTCAGTGCTCAGGAATGACCTGTCCATGGTAACTCAAAAATCTCTGTCTTGGCTTTAGGACTCACTAGTGGTGAAACCCACTAGTTAACAAAATCAATTAGGAAAACTGATAGTATTAGCAGAAAATGAAACATGTATGTGTATTTTTTCCTCAGACTGAATTTTTAATTGAAGTGAATGTCCTATTCTAAAAGTCATCTTGTAGGTTCAATAAATGTAATTAAGGGCTGGGGATTTAGCTCAGTGGTGCAGCTACCTGCCTTGCAAGCACAGGATACCGAGTTCAATCCCCAGTACCAAATATATA